CTCGAGAATGTCGGCGACTCGAGCGTGGTAGAGACTCTCCGCTAGTTTGTCATCGTCGCATGTTGCCAGGAACTGCTGTACGTGTTCTTTCGCGTCGCGACCACTCCTCTCAAAGTGTAGACGGGCGGTCCGAGCGTAGCCGTTCAGCCTGTTTATGTAGTCGCACAGATGTTCATTCGTTCCCGCTTGGCGGAGTAGTAACGCGACAGTGCCGTCTGCGTGAACTGCGAGCAGTAGTAGCGGATGAACGCATCGCTCAGCAGCTTCCACTTGCGCTTCGTCTTCTTCGGAAGTTGACGGAACCAATGAATGGCTCCGTCCCGGAGACTTAGCTCAAATGGAATGCACCATTTATCGGCATATGTGTGGGTTCCAGTCATTTCATAGACGAACCCACGGAGCCACTGCATACAGTTCTCGCTCTTGTTGCGAGAGCCTGAGAACGGCGTGATGCGATCCAGCGGTCGGTGCGAAGCCATTTCAATCCTCGGTGTTGGGTCCACGTCGTTCAGCGTTGCTAGCTCATTCATCTGACGCATCAACTCGAGTTGAGGATCTTCTTCGTCGGATGTACGCACCAAAATGTCATCGTCACTGGACGAACCATCGCTGTCGACTTGTCGACGTCCGGCACCACCTTTGGGAGCTCGCGCACCGCCTCGGCGACCGAACGAACCCTCGTTACTTGCGTAAATACGTTGCATACGGCTCTCCGAACGTGGCGTAACCATGTGCGAGTCTTGAAAGTACGGTGAAGCTTCGGTAGTGCCAAAGGCACCACGCTCAGCTCCACGCTTGGTCGGAGGAGTACGAACGAGTCGTTGGGGCGTCGGCGGCAGTGGAATCTTAGACGGATCTTCATCTTGAATCATCGGTCGACTCACAGGCTGCTTTCCGGCATTGATGCCAACGGCGCCAAACGCCTTCCGAAGTTTCTTCTTCCATTTCTGGAGAGCAGCTCCGGCTTCATGTGGACTCCAATCCTGGAGCGACATCGTTGATGGGTACGTCTCGTTCTCGAACCCCAGCGACAACAGTAGCGAAACTGAATCCTCGGCAACTTGACTAGTCGAAACCGAGTTGACTGGGTATTGAAGTTCCTGCGCAAGCGCAGGCCAGTCGGCCTTTTTCTTGGGGATGGGCTTGAACAGCTGCATCCACTCATCATTCTGCATCAGCGCTTGTACGCGGTCGAAAACGCGCTTGGCGGCTGGTGTATCACCGTTGATAGGTGGGCGAGGTGCCTTCAGCAGTGCTGAATGCTTTGCACTCGCCACCGAAGGTTTAAAACCCTCGGTCCCATCGTCATAATCATCATAGGCCGGTTCCGGTCCCGCAACATCATCGAGCTCGTCGGCGAGGTTCCTCGAAAGGGACTTGGTCGCCCCGCTCAGCCCCGATGATAGCGTGGCCGTCTCCGGCGTCGCTGCGCCTGGCTCTGGAGCCGGCGTCTTATCTTCGTAATCTTCATAATCGTGGGCGTCAGGACCGATGTCCGCTTCGTCGTCGAAGCTCACTGAAAGCTCGGTGGCGGCTGCAAAGCGCGCAGCCGGGCTTGAACTCTCGTTGCGAGCCCCGCCAGACTTGGCAGGCGTAACTGGTACCGTCGGTTGTCCTTTCGCCATGTTTCTTGTCTTTTTCTTGTTCTTCTTCTCTTGGTAGCTCGTAAACTGGAAGGCCATACCAACAGTTCACAATGGTCACAATCTGTTCCCGGGTCGCGGCACCAGTTGTGGTGTTGGAAATCCCTCGTGAACTCTAACTACAGATGTAGTTAGGATGTTCCCACAACAATACGTCTACTAGGATAGTAAACGATCGTTCGGGCGGACCTGAAGACCCCAGTTCTGCCCTTGCACCGGGACAAACTGGACCTTGTAAACTACTTATATAGGCCAACCAGTAAAATAAGAACACGCTACTAGCACGAGCAAAGCTAGCAGGTGTTTTGAATCCTCGTGGTCCCAACAGCGGAAGGGTACCAGGCACGGGTAAGCCTTTTACGAGATCACCGAGTGTTCAACACTCGGCTGGAAGAAATAAAAGGGAGGCAATTCAAGCTCTCCCAGTCGTGCAAATAGGCAACAATAAGCCGTCACGTAAAACCTCCCGATAATAATCGGCCAATACACAAAGTCTCTTGGCCTTGCCGGATGAACCCTCGCTACAGAGCTTCGAGTTCACCGACAGGCATAACACACTCAAACAAGCTTGACCTGACGCTTACCTTGAAGCCGGACGTTGCTCTGTGTGCTTGAGTGGAAATTCTGTTCTGTATTTAAGCTTACCCTTTCGGGTCTATTCCTAATAAGAAGTCCTAATCAAGTATACAAATATCAAGTGAACAATGATCCGTTATGGATCTTCTTGCATGCCAAGCGTCCTCTGCACTGTCGCATGAGCATCTTTAACGGTCCGCGCCCTGTCCCAGACGGTTAACGTGTCTTCCAAAGGTCGCTGAGTTTTCCGCGAACTCATCCCAACCGCCACTGAGGGTTCGTACCGTAGATGGTCCGCTGAATGCGAATCCGGCCAGTCCATTATTAATAATAAGGACAGCCTGGATTCAGTGACATAGGGCCGTATCCGATATTTGTTGAAAACTCGGAGGTGACGCCGTCGAGTCCCTTGCACCTTGGCGTCTCCTTACATCACCCGACCGAGGGTTCGTCGCTTGAACAACTTGGGCGGTGTCACGTCTTTGTCGACGGGTGATAATCCGCAACCACGGAGAAATCACTACACCACAGTCACGATAGACCGATATTATTCATCAACCCCGTTAGCTATTGAGCTGCTATCGATGCACGTGTACGTCGTGGGGACGATAATGACTAGGCGACTCGGGTATGACCGCAACGTTATCGAGCGACGAAAGACCCGGCCAAGAAGTATCCCGCGGGGCTCGTTCACGTTTTCACGCTCGCTGACTGTGCCAAACTTGATCGCCTTCCACTGGTGGGATCGTAAACCGGTCCACTACCTGTGTACAGGGTCAGTGATGACAGCATCTATCATCAACCGCAACGTTAAAGGAGAAGGGCCAACGACGGTGGCGTGTCCGAGGGCAGTCAACGATTACCAAGAATAAATGGGCGGAGTGGCCGTGCATGACCAACTCCGCCTCCAAGCCTTTTCGATCCAGACGTCGGTTCGTTTTGCAAAATATTACAAGAGCCTATTCTTAGGTCTCATTGATTTGGTCATGGCGAATTTCTACATCTCACACAAGGCTGCGTGTAAATTGGCGAACACACCGGCGATGAAGCGTGGTGAATGGTACGCTGTGCTCCACAGCCAGCTACTTCAGCTGAAAGAACATGATTTCGCAGGAGTGGCGGTCACACCGTCACCCGGAAGCAAGAAGCGCAGACGGAAACGCGTTAGTCATTCCCTAATCCAGTTCGACGACTGGGTTACAGTATCGGGAGTCCAAAAACGGCGCCAGCGATCTTGCAAAGTATGCGCTTTGCTCCGCGGTGATCGAAAGAATTCGCTTCAGACGACCTTCTACTGTGAGAACTGCTCCATAGACGACGCCAAGTGCTACCTATGTCCAAAATCAAGACGTAAGTACAGAGGTACAATATAGACTTGCTTCCAGAGATGGCACGATGATTTTGAGTGCGGGTTCGCCAACCCACCTACGCTGGGCAAGCGCGTTGTCCTCCGGCGCCCTGGAAAGAAAACAGGTGTGCGCAAGAAAACAAGGCGTGAGCTGCTTCGTAAAGAAGAGGGCGAAGCAGACGACGAGCTCCGTGGTGGTGCTGAGGAGCATAGCGAAGACGACAGTGAGCTCGACCTGTAGAAACGCAATGATCATAAATCTTGAGTGTTGTTATAAAATAAACTTCCTTGAACTGTCGTACCTTTTGTCTCCTAATTTCTGAAATGATTGGATTCAGACTCCAACTATCTTCCGTTTCTGTAATCCCCGAAGTTACGACTTTAAACTCCACTGTAGAAAAGAAAGTTGTTAATCTTACGACTAAGCCTAAATTTCACCTGTAAAAATCTATATACCTAGCCTCATGTGGATAGTCCACGACTTTACAAACGTCTTGATAAAGAATACGTCATAAGTTGACGTTCGCTTAACGGTTCCGAGGTACGAATCCTGGGAACCAAGGGGTTAACATTCTAGTGTGTACTATCATTTCAAACAAGTTTTTCTTAGCAAATAGTAGAAGCTATTCTTATTTGTCGAATCTGTGGACAGAAGTGGTTGTGCTGCTTGCGCCAGCCATGGGTTCATCACCCTGCCACACAAACTTTAAAGTGTACTTTGTCCAAACCTGAAGTCAGCAACAATGAAAACAGAGCAACCACACATACTAATAGCCACACCTTAATAGTAGTAGTATTGACCACCATGGTTCCTGCGCCTAAGTTCTGTTGGATAGATGACCTATGGTTCCCGATAATGGCATTTATCGTAGTTCAAATTTCGAGGCTCCCATACATTATGCATTTGAATCTGAAAAACCCGTCCATACATAATGGCCATTAATGAAAACCACACATGTAATGGCCTTAGCCCCAGGATAGGTCTTAACCATTCGATGGCCATTGAGATCATGTGATCACGAGCGAGCTTCCAATCGATCTTGCAATCAATCTGTAAGAATTACATGTAATACCTGTAAATGGCTTACCCTACCACCTCCATCCTTGGACGATACCTAAACATATTGAGCTTTGTAAGCTAAACCTTACCCACACGTTAGAGGGGTTAAAGTATGTAGGGTTTAGATAAATAAGGGAATGAAGGTTTCGGTTAAAAGGTTTCGGAATGCTGTCAAAGCTTTCCAAACGAAACATGAATAGAAATAACGAGTCTACTTGAAGCGTGCGTCGAGCTGAAAATAAGTCGCGACTTGTATGATACAAGTCATGACATCGACCCCAATAATAGGATGCTAGTTGTATCCTATTCTTGGGTGGACCAACGTCCTCATTCGCAACGTCTTCTCAGTGCAGACATTCGGCTCATCGTTACGATGTCCAGTCCACAGCAGCGCTTTTTGAAAGTCTGGGAACGTACTCAAGTAGAGCTTCACGGGAGCTACAGCACTGATCGAGTACTGTACTTGCTTTGGCTAAGTACACGCGCGAAACAAGCTGGCCACATGTAATCATGGTGTTGTTTGTCTCCCCACTGCCATGTTTGATCATTACGGTACTCAGCGACGTCATGCCTCTCGATGAGCCATCCGGGGGCATCAAGGTCAACAAGATGTTTCAAATACGACAATACTACAGCTACGTTGTTATGAGCTTCCTATGTGCGCAACAATTCCGTACTAGTGTGCGAGCACTACCGTACCCGAATTGGCGGGTGTGGAGAAACACATTTATTGTGGCCGGTCTGACCGTCGCTGTTCTTCACGGATCGGCACTGTGGATCGGCTTCCCCGTACCATTCTCGATCGTCATTGCGATGCCAGCCTGGGTAGTTATCATCACGATCTCAATGGCCATCGAATGGCTGAGACCTATCCAACAGAACCCAGGAACAGGAACCATGGTGATCAATACAATTAAGGTGTGGCTGTGCGAGGTGCTGCTCGTGGTGATGTACCCTCTGTACTTCTACGTATTCACGACGCTATAACAAAGACCGGTCAGATGTTCTCTGCGTCATTGCTACCCGTAATCAAGTTAGTCATGCGGAACATTTTCGCGTTGACTGCATCCGATGGACACCTTCACTCACATCTCGAAGAGACAACACGAGCTGTATCAGAAGTGCAGCCGTGACCATCAAAGTGGTTCCGAATGAGGGGGAATTTTGCATACAGTACGATACAAACAGCGCGTTAAAACCTCCGAGTTGAACACGATCACCCCAGGCATCTCGTCACTCAAGTGCACCAGACAAGGTGGGGAGACAACTTGCCCGTGAAGATGTCTACAACGACCCCAGCATAGCGACTCTTAAATCAAGTGTCGGTGCCCATGTTTTAACTTGTTTGGAACGTGCAGAAAAAATGTTATTAGAGCAGCAACATGCGCTGCAGGAGTCGAAGACCAACGCGGTTTCAGTACGTCGTTCGTCGATAAATCATCGAGACAAAATCTCCCAAGCTGGCGAAGGAGCGGAGGGTAAAGAACTGGCGAAGTCCGATAGCGTTGAGAAGGACTTGACGTTTGAAGAACGCGGCTCGATCAAGCCTTATGCCGGAGCACGTATTCAACCAGCCCCTCTAGATACGGACAAGCACACAGCTCGAGACGCCAAGGAGATAAGGGCAACCTCACTCCAGTATGTTCTGGAGGTGCGGAGGCTAATATACCTCACAGAGTTTCTCGTGCTGATCAACTACGTCGGGGTTTTCATCCCCGCTAATCTTCTGTAAGTGTCTTTTCTGTCCGGCCTCTTGGACCCATTCTCTCATTAAATATTGTTATGTATGGTCAGCGATCTACATGGGCCTCATGTACAGACTACCCAACCGCGCCTTCTACGCTCAACTCGCTGATCTGACGGAAGATGAACTCGATCAAGCGCTGAAAAATGTCATGTTTAACTGCGCTCTCAAGGTCCTCGCACTTGTGCTACTGTGCTCCCTACTTCAGTACCGTCTTCGATTTTCAGCGATTAGACAACTTGCGTTTGTCATGGAGAAACAGTGGCCTGGAGTGCAAACCAAAATCTGTTTCTGGGTCTTTTATAATGTTCAGGCATCCCTTCAACATCATGGTACGAAATGGCTGGTCGGCTGCTCTGTTTTTGTCGCTGAGCTGTCATTTTTCATTTCCAGGTTTTGACTACACGTTTGGGTTTGCGTGGCTCGGTGAAGAACCCATGACTGACGCAAGCAACACAACCAGTGTCTAGACACTTCTGTCCACAGATTCGAAAAAAAGAAAAGCTTCTACTATTTACTAAGAAAAACTTGTTCGAAATGATAGTACACACTAGAATGTTCAACTAACTCGGTTGGGATACTATCCTCGTATTCTGGGTTGTAATGAGCTGGTAGTCTTCCGGGGTTTCCGGTGCAGTAGCCACAGTTGTACCTGGTACTACGCGAGGTAATTCTTACCCCCCCCTCCTCTCCTGATTACACCAGCCACAATCATGCCCCCGAAGTTCTCCTCTGAAATCCTCACTAACCAATTTAACGCATCAAGAACAAGCTCAAGCACTACCTACCCCAAAATCAACTATGACGAAGTTCACCTTCTTCGCTGCTCTTCTTCTTGCCATCGGAGCTATCAACGCGGTGGATATCAGCCCGGATGGGCTCCCTCCTTTTGCTCTAGCTGAGGGCAGCGACCAGATCGACGCCACGCTGGCTGACGGAAGTGGCCAAGTCAACGCCACGTTGGAGGAACGCTGCTGCCTTTGACATGATGTAATCGGGTCAGCGGAAGAATTGCTCAAGTGTAGACTGGGAGAGATCGAGTAGTTCGCGCTCATTTACTAAACTCTCGACAACAAGAAACTTTGTTGATTTTCAACTGTCTATTTCCTTCTCAAAGTCTAGTAACTAGACACTTTGTTTCCCTAAACCAAAAGATGCTAGGTGAAACTAACGAGGATAGTGTCTATGCTTGCCGTGAAAAAGTGCCTACTGTAAGGTAGTAATTATCAAAGCTCAATACTCTCGCTTAAGTTTGGGTGCGTTTGATCACATTACGAGATTCCTTCAGTATTGTGCATTCTATTCGAAATTTCCGCGATCGTACACGCCCAGCAAACGTGCACCCAATCGCGTAAACCCCGTCTTACAGAATAAAACTATGGTGTCATCCCGCGCGCGCTTTGAGCTTGCATACCGGTATTACAGTAAATAGAATGACCTAAGATCGCAATTTGAACCACTCATAGCGTCGTGTCGATTGGCTGCCTTTCTCCCACTCACCCCGCATCAGTAATTCTAGACGGAATTGACAATAGCAGCTAGCGATGACAACTCACCACATGGAAAAGCGCAAGCTCAATAATAGCGAGAGGCCCCAGCACAAAAGGGACGTCAAAGTCAGCTTTCTGCAATAATCGAGGTATTTATAGTGACTTGAAAAACAACAGTAGAGGTTCTAGAGTTTTTTTCATCGAATTTGTCCCGAGTAATGTTATCAAACGCTAAATGGAGAGTACTGAGCTTTGATAATTACTACTTTACAGTAGGCACTTTTTCACGGCAAGCATAGACACTATCCTCGTTAGTTTCACCAGGAGAGGAGGGGGGGGGGTAAGAATTACCTCGCGTAGTACCAGGTACAACTGTGGCTACTGCACCGAAAACCCCGGAAGACTACCAGTTCATTACAACCCAGAATACGAGGATAGTATCCCAACCGAATTAGTTGAACATTCTAGTGTGTACTATCATTTCGAACAAGTTTTTCTTAGTAAATAGTAGAAGCTTTTCTTTTTTTCGAATCTGTGGACAGAAGTGTCTCGACACTGGTTGTGTTGCTTGCGTCAGCCGTGAGTTCTTCACCGAGCCACAAATTCAAATGTGGAGTGACCTAGTTTGCGGCGAAAGTGTTCCTCTTAAAGTTGTGGCAGTTTTAGGGGGTAAAAAGTGTAAGGATGCTGCGGCTGCGAATCAGGCGCAAGAGATGCATTAAAGCACCAAGAGCATACAGCGCGGGTTTTCAGGTTGAAAGCTTTAGGTCTCATACATGTACACTATAGGAACATTCAGCTTAATATTCGTATACTTGGGACCGAAGGATTCTTTCGTCGTAGTTTTAAATGTGAATTACAATGTCACTCTGCGTCACAGAAAACTAAACTGTGAATAATGATTGTTGGCTATCCGTCGCTCTCTTTGTTACAAGCTTTAAAGTTCGCTGTAAAGCTTATAAACGTTGCTCCTCAAATTTAAAATTTCAGAGCTTCTTCGAGCTTTGCTAGTAACTGAACCCGTTTCAGCAACAGCCCAAAATACCACAAACAAAATTGGCTGGGTGGGTGGAGCTCATGAAATACCCTGTCCAAAAAAACAATATTTCGGTTGTCGAACTGTTTCAGCAATGTTTGTTTTTTCTAACTCGCTTCACTTCAGGGTCTATGCTCCACCACAAGACTGCGGTAGAACAGTGTTCTACGCTCTAAGGGCAGGGATTGCTAATAGACAATGGGAAAATGCTACGCGAAGAAACAAATTGGTACATTTTTTCCCAGCTAAGTCGAAGACAATCTAGTTCATTTCCCATACAGTAGCAGCTATCTCATGCATTGGCAGATCCTATCCGCACATAAAGCTGCACCATTCAATTTCACTATTGATAATCGACGGTCGAGGATGGACAGTTCCCAACCAGGGCTCGAAAAAATAAATATAATTAAATAATTGTAGTATTGAATTGACGGAATTACGGATTATTGGAAAGGAAAAGACTTTCGTAAAATATACAATTCTCCCCGTAATAATTAACAGTAGAGCTTTCGATTGATGTATTTTAATACCAGGGTAAAAAAAGCGTCCTCGATGCTGTCCACCACTGTAAACTGACCTTATTATAGGTAAAAAGTGGCAGTAGCAAGCTGGTGGTCGACCACAAATGACTGGTTCATACGAGAGTAAGCGAAGACATCTAGCACGGATACCACTCTATTGGGATTAAGGAACCCAAATAAAATGATCACAATCTGCAGCCTGGGGTACCGTTCTTAGCTATGGTGCTTAGGAAGTAAAAGAGGAACTGGACTGTATTCAATTAGGCAAATTAGAGCTAGCGTGGGGGTACGTCTCGGCAACAGGAAAAGCCAGTTGTAGATGCACGACAGACACGGATTGCGCAGCTGGATACGAGAATCCAGATCAGGTACTGCTTAACCTTTATTATTTAATATAACAGATTTCGGGTCGAAAATAGCTAATAGGAGATCATGGACTTCCCTGTACAAAACTCTTATCACTGTCTTGTACCGTTGCCGGTTTATTTTGATTGGCGAGGGATCCTAGCCAGGACCATAACCCCCCCCCCCCACAACCAGCGTATTGATAGCAATGGTTGCTCCCAATCCACTTCACTGTTCTAACCTCTTAAATAATTGCAATACGTAATATTCGCTCCGACATTATTACAGTAACGTTTTTTTTTCCAGCGAAACCAGTTCAATTTTATATTTAACTGTTCGAGCCCTACCCCCCAATGGTTTAATGTCACGGTACTTGTGTGAGCGTAACCTCGGATAACATTCGCACGACATTCGAGGTACACGTGCAGTACAGTGCAGTACGTTCGTGATCACAGTACTGTTCGACAGATACAACTTGCATCAAAAAATAAAAAAACACATTTTCTCATAGGTAGTCGTTTCTTTTTTCTTTCATTTCCTTTTGCACAGAATGTCGCTGTGGTTAGTCACTTTGCAGCTCTCATTTGTCAATCTTTTATTTATCGGCGTCATGCTCATATCCACACTTACCCGGTCCGTGAGTCTGTGATAGTGGCGGCTCGGTGTTTGTGCATGATGGCTCACTGGTGTAGGGGAGCATGGCATCGACTTCACATCTGACTTGATTGAGTTCGCGGGCGGACTCCGAGACGAGGTGATCTACGTGGTATCGGCTACAACAGCTCAGCATCGTAGGGCCAGGCGGGCGGACGACCAACTTCGACTGCAAGCTATGAGATGTTACAGTCTGCAATACTGTACCTGGTCGTCGTTAATGAGACCACCTGTACGAAAGCCCTGAATGGGGGCCATCTCCTGACAAGTCACGAAGTAATGTTCTTATCGAATACATTCATCGCAGAAGCACACGAGGTGTTTGCGATGCCTCAACTAATTCAGTTATGCGGAGACTGAAGGGGATGGGCTCCCATCCACGGGTATATCGCATGATCGGCGAACTCCGTTGGTCGCGCAGCGGGGTACGCGTTCGACACCGATCCAACTGACTACTCTCGAATCGAATTATCTCGCAGCCATACTGATCCATTAAGATTGCTTCTCAATGCATCAATAAATTTTCGTTTTCGTGTGTGTCGAAGTGCGTACGATTTTCTCTTTCTACTGTAAATCTCTTATCTTACGCATCACTTTCAGAACCTGCAGGAGATGCTTGAAGTCCATGACTAATCCTTTTTGCTTCCTTACTTAAGATTCTTTGCGCTTCTGGTGGCATTAGCTAAATATTAAAGTACGAGAGAAACTAACCTTGCGCTTTCAGTTGTCGTGCTACTGGGTCTAATGCTGTCGATACAGATACTGTACATGGTAGAGCGACTTTGGGTAAAGCATAACTTTAAGGTATATACCTCCTATGTTTACGTATTTCCAATCAGCCTCCTCTACTATCATTGGAGCTGGTATCAAACAGAGCTAGGGTGTAAAAGGAGGGGTGATGCAGCCTCTCTCAGCTAATCCGAAACAGAGTTTTATGGCTAGTGCTTTAAAGTGTAAGCTCTTCAGAGGTTGGCTTGAGCATATCCTAACTAGCTATACTGAGAGCCGTGTTGGTGCTCCCTTGATCATGCAGGGCGCTACTTTGGTGATAGTGTTGCCGCCGCTGCTGGGGCTTGCAGTATTTGCGCGACATGACATCCATCCCTAATAGAATTTAATGCAATAAAACTTGGTTTCGTGCCTTTAAGTTGCTTGGTGTCCCAGTTGGTCCCTCTTTCATTCCTGTAGTAATCAGTGCGCCCATTGACAAAGGATGATGATCTTTATGATGTGGTACACATCCCGTGAGAAATTTCCTGCTGAGAAAGTGAATGGAGAGAGATCGACAGGAGAGACCAGAAAATTTCTGGCAGAAATGAGTAACTAGCTCATTTCTCAGCAAGCGAGGCACAAAACGTCGCATTGCAGACTGGAATGAAGTCTTCTCCACTCCTCTCGGCTGACTCGTTCGACAAGAGGCTGCGCGACGTCTTTTCGCTCCACGCGGCAACCCCAGTGGTGATTGACTTACTACTCAATTGCGAGACTCGAAAGAGCTGACGATGCTTGCTGTAACGTAGCTAAATGAATATCTTTCGTCGATCGAAATCGACGACGACGATCCCGGTTTCGTGCTGAGCTGGGACTTGGACAACCTGAACGCATTTGTGGCGGCATCGAATGCTCTAAACCCAGCCCGTGCGCCGGGTTGGGTGCGGACACGACCCCCACACATGACGGCCAATTCATTCACAGACGATCTCGTTCATGAGCTACATCAAGTGGCTGGAGGTCGTTGTGGGCGTGTGCTGCTGGCGCCAAATAGATTTGAACAGCTTGGCGCGATTACGCTGACGCTAGGCGCCCTACAGAATGATGATTTCCTGCAAGACGCTGCTCAGGTTGCACTCCCCGTTGTCAACAATGTCGAGCGATATATCGCCACGACGTATAACCTCACGGACACGAACGCGCAGCGTTCAGTAGAGAACAATCTCCCACCACCTCGTCGAAACGGTCAGCCATTGCGTCGAATCTTCATTTGATGATGTCGCCTGTGCGCCGAATCGTAGCTTTCTATTGCGTCTCAATGAGTAGTACAGACAACGACGGTGAGATCCGCCAGGTGTCAGAACAGTACCCTTCATATATAATAAAAGTATAACGCGCGACAGCAATACCCGCCCATAATTTTGATTGGTTGGAACTGGTATTAACGTCTGAGCACAAAGTACAACAGCAATTCAAAATGGCGCCAAAACGATGCAAGAATCAACAGATTTTTTGTTGAATGTGCAAAAATGCCCAAATATGGGATACGGATTGGTTGAAACTGTTTCCTTTTGTGGGAAAACGATGTTTGGACCCGGATTTCACTGTTGTTGTCTGTTTTTATAGATAAACACATAAACAAACCCAATACATGTTGTCCGTCATCAGAAAAATAAAAATGTCTTAGCCAGGCGCCATCACACACTCGCAAACCACAACCGACGTGTGGGCCACACGTAACTAAATTATTGCAGCCCTTTTTTATAACTATCAAGCTTCATAAAAATAATTTATTAATAAGAATCACGGCAAAGTTAAAGAAAACAATATCAGAACGTACCTGTGGAAATAATCGATTGAAAGTGATCTCTGGCATCTCTAATTAAATTATTTTTTGAAAAAAATTGTTTTGAAATTCCAATACCATGATTATTTCGGACACCTCCGTGTGGGCTTGTCTGACAATCTAGCTTGACACGCTATCTTTGTTAGTATGTCTGTGCAGAATCCTTCTTCAGTCGCAGTATCGAGTACGACGTAGATTTGTCTCGGACCTTACAGCCGCTTAATACATCTCAAGATGCATCTGATTACAGCACTTATATCGACTAATGTAATCGACCGTACCACTCGACCTCATACCACTCTAAGCGATTAAACTTCCGCATCTATCACACTAAGAGTCCGCGAAACTTTAAATGTTGACCCCCCGTAAACCCCATTGCTCTTAGAGCAGATCATGTTGTGATTCAACCTTGCACCCAAGAAGAGATTGCTCACAACGAACGAGAAAGAAGACTAAATTAAAAACTCCTTAGCAGCTTCGCACGAACTCCTACCTTGTCCCGAAATGTTCCCATATAGCTGTCTGATTCCTACTCTGGGTTTGCTACAACTACCAGAGCTACAGACCTGCACTTCAACCCCCCCCCCTCTAAGCATAGCTCCGAGCTCCAAGAATGCCAACGCCTACCACGTGCTGTAGCTAATCCAGTCGTATCTTGTCCAGTGGCTTAGTGAATACGTCATCAAGAATTCCTACTTCCTTTCACTTTGTATAGCTTGAACACTTTCATGGCCACAAGCGTACGCACGTAGTGGGACCTTAACTCAATTTGACGCGTACGATGACTATAACCCCGGGGAGTTGCCAGTCCCATTGCTGCCTGGCTGTCAATACCAAGGAGCCATTGTATATACATGTTGGGGGAGAATTTCTTACAAAATGTTGCTTTCACCAACGGTTTCCATAGTAGCTTCACATGCGACCACATACTCGGCTTCAGCCGTAGACAGAACCACGATTGTATCGCGCATCAGCATCCTCGACACGGCATCTCCTACAATCGTGAACACGAACCCCGTTCCACTCTTACAAGACTCTGGGTCATTCGCCCAGTCACTATCCCAATACCCTTCGATCGGAACTGGGCTCAATAAATCTTGAGAATTCCTGAAGTCATACCGTAGCCCAGCGTACCAGGTAATGCAGAACGCGCTTTAACGCACCAACATGTTAAGCCGAAAGCTTGGCCACGAATCCAATTAATTGTCCAACTGCGAAGGCCAAATCTGCTCTTGCGAGGTACATCAGCATTCCATCTTCCCGTCGATATGGGTAGCTCGTATTCGCTTTTTCATATTCCCCAAGAGGAGGCAGTCTCATGTTTGTTTCCGTATGATTACCCACTGCATGAACATTGCTAAATCCAAGCGTTATCAAATTTTCACGAGCGTATTTACCCTGCCCAATTGCGACACTGTCAGCGGTTCGTGATGTTTTAACGCCCAAGTAGCTTGTGAGGATTCATTGATCTTTGCTCCCATAGGCGCTGTCAATATCACCAAATAACTGACCTTTAGTCCGCTCATCATTTGTAGCAACTACGATGTCGTCAACGTAAACGAGAACCAACATGATTGTTTCACCCTCAAATGGGCAGTAGAGACACGGGTCAGTTAGCGATCTCTGGTATCCATGATTCAACAGCCAGCCATTCCGTTCTGTATTCCACTCTCTTCTTACGTGCTTTAGCACATACAGAGCTTTATAACCAGGTACATGTGTCTGTCAATCTCGCACGGGAACCCATCAATTGACCTCAAGTATGGCTGAATCGCCGGTACCGCATTCAAGTAGGTCGTATTTACATCTCCACCGTCCATAATTAGGTGCAGCACTACAGCAAGCGCTGCTAGCATCCGGAAGGAAGGCATGCGTGCTAGTGGTGCAAACGTTTCAACAAAATTTACCCCAGGTCTCTGACGGTTGCCGAACGCTACGATTCATGGCTTATATCGGATTACATATCCTTGGTAGTCTGACTTCAATGCCTATACCCATCAGGTACGAATTGGTTTCGCATCAACTGGAATTTCGTCACTTGGAATCTCTTTAATGACACATTTTTTCCCTCAAACTCTCCGTCTCCTCCAGCTCGCCCAGACACCAGATGTCGGCGTACGCCGATCGCATTAACTCTCTGCGATTCTTGGGGACCGTCACGTTACTTGCACGAATCGGCTTGCCGTTTTTATCTAGCACTCGAGATGTTTTCTGCACTGCGTTGACCATATAGTTCTCCAGGTAGCTTGGCCGATGGCGCTCGTGAACTTTGCGAAGCCTCATATACTTGCGCTTGGGTTCTTGCTTGTCCACACTTCGCTATACTATCGCCTTTTCCGAAGGTGCTTCTTCGCGATGTGTTTTTACCGCGTTTGTATAGAAGACAGCAGTGCAGTCATGTCAATAACTTCTCCGTGAAACGACATACCATCAGCTTCTCCTTGCCCACTACTACTTGTAGAGCAGCCCCATTAGCTACGGTAGATTCATCATTGCCCACACTCATTTGAGCATCTTCCAATATGTGCATTTCGTTCCGTTGCGCTGGTACCTATTACTCGCGATCCATGAGTCTCAAACTCATTCACCTCGGAGTCGCATAATCCTGTGATCGATATATTTCCATCACATGCGGAATCACCAACTAGATCCGTCTGCCTGTATCACTTTTACGTCTGCTTGCATTATATTTGCTGTTCTCACAGCTACCGCATTTAGTTCATTTAGAGCTGTCACAATGACACTGTCAATAGCACTTGCCACACGGCTTCACCAGTAGCGCTTGTAAATGTACTTCCCAGTTCAACTACACGTGATACTTCTTAAGCATTATCCACCGTCACGTCATTGGCGGCGTTTTGAGCAGAACATGGATCCGAACGTCGATCTGAGACTTCATCTATTCCGGACAAGTCTCCATCCTCATCCGGTTCTGCAAAGTTACCATCCTCGCCTCCCTAAAGTTCCACAGTCTCGTCACTAAACGGTTCAGAGTCACCGTTTCAGCGCCGTATTCCTTATGTGATTGCCGACATTCCCTTATTAACGACAATAGAAATAGCCAATCATTGCGCTTTAATTTTTGTACTGTTGCTGTTTAAGTGCTTTCTGACAGCTTACAAAGTGCAAGATTAAATCTGATCATTTTACCGTAGGTATATTTTTTGTTTAGCGATAGACAGCATTCACTTCAGAAATATGACTGTTGATAATCACAGAAGGAATACAGTATGCACTTGACACACGTGACTCGCTATGCTGTTCAAAGTATAGCGACTCCAGGCCCTCTTGATGCATTGACGTATCACGCCCTCTGCAACACGCAAATTCAGGACGAATTTTTCCGTTTGTTCGGCTGAGAAATATACCTTGCAGCCAACGACATCCTCCTCGTAGCCGCCAACAAACCCACGTTAGCGTTACATTGGTGCTTACGACACAGTGGTGCCCTGGGAACGTGTACATATGCTTTTGAGCCGAATGTGCGGATGTGATGGAGGTCCGGCTTGACTCCAAACATCATTGTGAACGGGACACCGTGCATACCCATGGTGAAGACTCGATTCTTAATATACGCTGCATTCTTCATGACCATCTGGTCACGAACGGCGAGGTTAACCAGCATGCACCATCCTTGTTTTCGTCATATCAACCGGAGACTGGTGTGTGCGCTCGCACCGATTTAACTGTGAGTATTTTGGGCCCACTTCCACGTGCTCGATGCCTCGAGCAGCATACCAGTTACTTAACTCACTGTTAGCAAATTTCGCCTCCCATGTCCGTCAATATTTGATGCACCCGGTAATTCACTCTTTCGCTTTGACGCTCACTGCGACCAGCCTGCCTCTCTGCAAAGAGGATGAACGCTTGATCGGCTAGCTAACGACCTCGCTAGGTTTACTCGTGAGTATGCGAAATGTCATGAACCTTGAGAATACATTCATCCGAACTAATACTGCCTCGAATTGAGTTCCATTCCCTTTACTAGGAATCAATAAGTCGGCATACGCGACTTGATTTGGTGCCTTACGTCCCCGATCAAACTTCTTTCACATTAGGTTTCGTTTTTGCTTTGCCAGATGACACACATCGCACTCTTCTTTCTTGCGCTGCCTGATCATCATGCCTCGTATCATGCCCTTGTCTACCATCATATGTAAGTACTGGGGGCATGCATGTGATTAGCGGTTATGTTAAACTGTCAACGGAGCTACTCCTTCAGCTGCCGTGAAGTTACACAGATGACGGTTCTGTGGGACAAGACGTGCTCAATTCGATGGGTGCGTAACATAAAATCCATGTCGCCTTGAATGGTAGGGCCACTGTGGTGTAGTAGAGCACACAAATACCGTCAGATGTGGATTCCTTACACAAACCACAACGAATCGCCGAGTAGGTCGGCGGTTGTATGGCCTGCGCAGAGGGTGG